AGTTACAGGTTAACCTGTATATATATATATATATATATATATATATATATATATATATATATATATATATATATATATATATATAAACCTGGTTATAAAACCTGTACGTTTATATCACGTGGTGTAGTATCTGTGTCTGTTAGATATTGCACCACGTGACTGGAGGGAGGTTGTGTTTGTGTGTGATGATGGTGTTGGGGGTGGGGTGTAAGTCAGAAATTATCCGTAGTTATGCTCCGACAGTGAGCGCATGCCCTGTGGCAGACCTACTCACGAGGTGATACATCCATCGGATGTTATTAGTTAAATAAGCCAAGTCAGTGTTGACTTCAGGTATTGCAGGGTCAGGTATTGAATAGTACAATATGGCAACGCTGATAAATATCGGACATGGATAGTTTATGACGGCCAATTTCCTATCGACCACGGTGTTAGAAAGATATCTCGTTACTATTTATTTATATTGCTAAATGTTTTATATTTACTTTTATGACATTGTAGGTCAATATAGATACGCATAATGATGGTTAGGATGACGATTCGGAGGCTGCCGCACTTATGACTTTTTTAAAAGTTCGAAAACACCTGATTTCTACGATTCTGATACGAAGCAATAGATGCATAAAGTTGGAAAAAGTCGGTCGGTGAGAAGAAGTATTCCCCGAAATATGTGCGTCAATTATAATTCATAATATTCCATACGTTACAGCATAACTTGAACAATTATAATATTATTATAATTAATGATATATCATAAAGCAACTGGGTTTCATTTACATCCTGGGATAATACCAGTTAAACCACAGGGTATATATTGTAAACACACTGTCACGACTCTGACAGCATAATAAAACGTATAATAAAAGTCCTAAAGTCTGTCATTTTATAGGGATGTACTGAAGATAATCTGAAAAGGAGACAGAATGGCAGGCACGCGTGACGAGCACGTGAGGAAACACATTATAGCGAACTGTACACGTCTTAAGGAACTGCATGGTAGGGTCCCTCTACCTCGATATTGGATTATTACACTACTCTTGTAAAGTCTGATATACTCGTGTAAAAGAAGGCCTACTTGGCAGCCGTACAATTAAATATAGTAAATAAGTAAGTATATGTGATGCAACTCACTACTACAAGTCAAATCTTAGTTGTGTAACATTAATTCCGTTACGAGAGGGATAATCTCCGCTGCAGGAACGTAGACCTTTTGCGTTGTGTTTTGTGTGTGCTTATTTCTTCCCGTCATACAGACTCACAGACTGTCTTTATATGAAACTGAAAAAAAAAATTAGGAGAACCCAGAACTGAACTAGCGAAATTGCGAAGTAGACTCTGAGACACACGTAGTTTGGCACCAACAAAGGAGCTGGAAGCCGTCGTTGTTGTAAGCATGGACTCTGTTTTCTTTGTCTCTTTCTAACGCCTTTGCAAAGATGAAGGAGAGCTTTTAGATTGTGGAGAGCAGTATCCCGATACAATTGGAGCATTGGAGTAAAGAATTAATTACCATTCAAAAGTAATGGCCCTATTCTGCCATGCTTGAGTTTTTTTTAGTCAAGGAGAAAGGCTGTCGTGGCCCCGGTCTTGCTACAACGCCAAGGGAAGGGATTATTCCGGAGATTAACATCAGAAAACACCTATCAGACTTTCTGACTCAAAGATCTTTTGCGGACAGTAATCGCATTAATACCCGGGGATTAATGCTTTGCAAAATTGAATTTTAATTCGAATTAAATAAATAGATATGAAATAAATTGAGGAATCTTTCGCAAGAGAATGGAGAGAGTCTATCCCCCTCGTCCCTTTGCTTAGTTTTAATGGCGACGGGGCGAGAGGAACAATCGGTAGGCCGATCCACTGGGCATTTAGTTTCGGATCCGCGGCGAGTTTGACACCTGCCATGATAATGTATATTCTGTCCTTGGGCTAATCATTTCAGCAACACGCCGCCCGCTTTATTTGCCAGTCTTATGTCCAATATATGATGCCCAGAATAGAAAACCAATAAGTAGGCCAACAATGTATAACAATACTGTAGGTTATATATTGTATGTTATTTTTTAATTATTGGATATTTTTTTATAGAAAAAGATATTTAACGTAATATTTATGTCACACACTTATATAGTTATATATCATTGTTTATAATGTTTATAATGTATAAATATTAAGTTATAGTTTTTTATTCACTTTATTTAAGCGTGCACATATATATGCATAATCCTTGAATATCGAAAATGATTGGTTTTGAGTTATTGAGAAATGGGAAAGTTTTTTATTATAATATTATAAGTTTCTGTTTAATCCTATTGATTACAGCACAGAACTTTTTGAATTGTCTAACAAGGATTAATCTGTCCTCGGGCAAGCCGATTGTTTCTTTTTCTCATTTGTTTCTTATATTGAAATGCAATCACATCTCGTGCACTTGCGCCTAATCCTATCAGGGGATCTCCCAGGCAACCTCTCTCGAGTGTGGGCAGCAAGTGTGCATTTTGGAACCCCCAGTAGGATTCACGAGATTCAATTCCTCCAGTTCTCTCATCGTGCGGAATTGAATTCAAATCATCCTGTGAAACCGTTACTTTTATCACTTTATACGGCCAATAAGCATGTTCTCAAGAAAGACTGCTAATGTCCCAAATAAGGGCAAAATAAGCAATCAAGATGCTTCGCGCCTTTCATGTTATTGCTAACAGGTTGGTGTTGTAATAAAAACGAGCTGTACCTTTCATTCAAATCGGCTAGTTTTTTTTTACCGGAAGGTCTAAAAACGACAATTGAAGACAAACAAACAAATGAACGAACTAAACAGTAGAAATTGCTGTTTTACCATATCAAGGCTCACGCTGACGTCTTTATCTACTTATGAAAGAAACCAGCCGTAAACAGTGTTTACCACACTTACCCGACATCGCGTTCATCTTAGTCTAAAATGTTTTAATAACACCACCCCTTAAATATATCATATTAAAATTATTCCCCTTTACAAATGAATAAAAAAGTTAAAACGTGATACACCTTCATAAAAAAAAATTATACACATGAATATTATAACATTCAGGTTATAGAACAACTATAATCAGTATTTATATCAGCATTTAATATTCTATTAAAACACCTCTATTAGTCGTACTATTATTGATATTGTCATAATTATAATTATTATTGGTATTTTTATTATGCTGCCGCTGCGTAATATTGAGTTCGTTGTTTTCGTTGCTGTTGGACAACATGTATAAATTTAAGATGGAACAGTACAAACTTGCGACAGAGGCGGCGTGTTTTGTTCACGCTGGGACTATTTGAATAAGCATAATACTATTGGACTGTTGCGGGCAGAAAAAAAAATGAGTGACAAAAGCGGAGACGAGCAGAATTTGGAAGGGGGACAAGGCGTATGGGACTGAAAAGAAGGGAGGAGAGACGTTTACAATGGAACAATTCACCTTATAATCGCTTTGATATATTATACATGCCTGAAGACTCTAAACATTGTGTAATTATTTATACATGGCTGTCCCCCCCGTCTCATAATAACCAAAGGGAGAAAAGGCGCGGCAGGTCTCTCCACAAACTATTGCTAAATAGTGCCCCCATCCATCGCATTCAAAAGAGAGGCGAGATGCTGGAAATTGAATAAATGGAATAATTAATGGACGATTGTATGGCTGTCTCATAAAAATGTCTTTAAATTAACTAAATGAAACTGCGTAAAGCGAGGCTGGATAATTTTCATTCTAGCCTCTCCGCGAGTTGAATTTTAAGTGTCTTTACTTGTCCATCGTTATTTTCAAACTACAGGCCTACGGGTAAAAATAAAAATCACAGCAACGTGTAAAGTGTCTTCTATCGTTAATGAATTAGTGAGTTTACGGTCTACGGCTATTTTCTGTTTTCTTGAACAGCGAGATTTTCCAAAATATTATGTGTTGCATCATTGATTTAACCTGGATTTCTTTAAACAACACTATATAAAAATATTTAAAAACTAAAACGAACAAAATTAATATGGCCCATATTATTTTTAGGACAAGACTGCATAAAATTGAATAAACGAATTATACGTGTAGATTATGCGTATACCTTCGGGTAAAAAACTACAGAGTATATGTATATTATGGAAACATCTTTCTTATTTTAAATGGTCCTTCAGTGTGATCAAAATGTACTATACAGGCAATATTATAAATAATGTATTTTAAGAAACCTTTTTAAAAGTTACAGATAGTCTGTATATACATTTTCCTTCCTGTGAGAATAAAAAGCAGTGCTTTCTAGCGCAATTATAGCAAGCGCGCTTATCTGTTTTTCCCAAAGCATTGCAAGGTGTCCAGGTGTTGAAAAAGAATAACTCCCCCTAAAAGTTGCGGAGTGCGCCCCGCTTCGGGAGCTAAGCGCTTCGATTGTTTGGTCTTCCTATCTGTTCATTTTTCCTATTGAAGACTGGCTTAAAGTGCGCTTGGTCCTCGGTGGGCTGATAGCAACAGTGCAGCTCGCGTGGCTGTGCAGCGGTTCCGGGCTCTGATTGGATAGCCGTGATTACAGGCACGCTTCGAAGGGCGAACAAACAACAGGCATAAATTATGCTAATGAGATGGTTGTGCGGCACGGGGCAGACCTGATGCAGCCTATTCATTATTCCTTCACAAAAATGCAAAAGCGAGGGGGGTATGTCTATTGTTTCATCAGGGTATATAAGGGATATGACGCCAGTCGTGTGCCAGGCTCACTGGCTCACACGAGCTGACTGCAGCAAGATCAAGACAGACGCGTGCCTTTTACTCAGCGTCCGAACACTTTTACCAGACTCTGTCTCCCTGAAGGACAGCCTTCCCTGATACCGTCTACCACTTGCAAGATCTGCACCAACGAAGTAAGTTTTCCTCGTCTTCCTCCGATCTTCGAATGTCGTGCCAATTGACAGTTGTGCATTTACTGCCGTATCCACGTTCTTAACAGTTATCCCTTTTCCATTACTTTGCAGCTTGAACGACATGTGCAGCACCATGGAGAACCTCTACTCAGACTTGGACAGCTCCAGTTGCGACCTGTCTTACACGCACACGGATGACGAAGACTCTCGCAGCAGCATGCACGTCAGCTCACCGACCTGCCAGCCGTCATCACCCATCAGCAACAGCCAAGATGCGCCGACCCCCGAGCAGCAGCAGAAAAAGAGACGCAGGGGACGCGTGAGGAACGAGGCCACCGTGCATGTGGTCAAGAAGAACAGGCGCATGAAGGCGAACGACCGGGAAAGGAACAGGATGCACAATCTGAACGACGCATTGGACACTCTCCGGAGCGTCTTGCCTGCCTTCCCGGACGACACAAAACTTACAAAGATCGAAACGCTACGTTTCGCCCACAATTACATCTGGGCGCTCTCCGAGACCATCAGAATTGCGGACCAGTGCCAAAGCAAGACAAGGGACGCGCCGCTGCTCCCGGCCGGGCTCGGGTGCATCGCGGATGCGCCAAGTCCCGGCAGTGACGCTTGCTCTTGGATGTCCAGCGCCTCATCCTCCTCTTCGTCCCCTTCATACTGCACTTCAAACCCCAGCAGTCCCGCCGTTTCGGAAGACTATGGCTTTTTGCATACAGATAGTCTGTACAGCTACCACAACTTTGTGTCAGGCATCTTCTAGGAAATGGGCTTGATCTTGTTACGCGATTGTGGCCTTTGGCGCGCGCTAGGGACGAACTGAAACGCCACTGCCTTAAGACGAAACTCAGTTACTCAGTTTAGAAGAATCTAAGTGCGATGTGAGGGACCGTAGATTATTCTAGCAATTCACTATATGCCTTAACTATGTTTCACAGGATTGTTATTCGATGAATTGTGTGTTTTTACATATGTACATTTTTCTTGAATTTGCAGTGAGATTGCTGTCCATGAAGGCGTGTAAGAGAATAATTTTGTTTTGTGGAATTTCCAACGGTAGCTTTTGCTTCAGTTCTCCTTCAGACCACTGCACTTTTTTTTGCCGCGTCCACATATAACAATATCCACTCTCAGAATCTTGACCCCTACCTCTATTAAAACAAAATTCTAATTAAAAGGAAGAAAAGACAGATTTGCTTTAGCAGAGTGAGGTGAAAAGTCAATTTTACAATTTGTCGAATGATAATTAGGAAAAAACGAGCGTGGAAATTCGGTTTCAACGCTCTGACAATAGCCTGAAAGGCCGTCAAAGAGGGCGGATCTGGCCCTAATGCATTATGTATTTTGACCCGCTGAAAACGGCCTTCGTGGTCTGCAGAAAGACGCAATCCCTCAGACAAGCAGCAATGGTTTCTCCAGCATTGACTTTATAGTTTTGTTTTAATTTATTCAACGATTTGCTTTCATATGAAAATGTATTTTGTATATAAAGAGATTTATTCTATTATGTATTTACCTCAAAGTTTAAGTCTGGTGCAAACACTGTTGTACAAATAAAATTATAACGTTTGTAAAAATATTTGGTGACATCACTTCCATTTCTTTGAATCAGTGTAAGAATGTTTCTACTGGTAAACGACTCATTTAGACCTCGGATTTTAAGTTGCACACATAGGTTACATTTGGGTGATTGTGACTTATTTGCTTACCATCAATACTGTCTTAATTACAACGATAATCGTTGGAGACACTCCACTGTGTATCTGTCTTCGTGAGTCTCCCTTAAACAAAAGAGATGCGAGGCATTAAAAATGACGGTTAGAAAGAGTCACAACGGCAGGTGGACACACTTGTTAAGGAAATTGCTGCCGGGTCGTTTAGTCAACCGATCAACATTGTTAGTTTACTTCGATCTTTGTTTTGGACGAAAATAAATGCTAAAGTGTAGAAATATCTATTATTTTACTAGCAAAAGAATCCAATTTGTTTCCTTCAGATTTCTTTTAAATAATTATCAAAAGAAAATAGATTTAACCTTGACTTTAAATAAATTCCTACGACAACATATTGTAGCGACTGAATTGCCGTACTTATAAACTGAAACATGTTGTCAAACGAAAAAATATAAAAATCAGCATTTAATTGTTGCAATTTTGCTGAAATTGCTAGAATTCTGAATGTATCGTATGATTCGATAGACTAATTGATTATACAGTAAAATGATTCTTAAAGTCATGGAAAATACTTTTTAAATTGCAAATACAAATCTTGTCTGATACGATTTTTAAAAAATTAACCTTCCCTTGCTTCATTATAAAATCTTCTCCTGGCTGGAATGTTGTATACATTTGTTATAATGCATATGATGCAGTTTATAAATCAGAACTATATATTTCTTGCCAACTGTTACTTTAGAACGCCACGCGGCTTGGTGGTAACTAGCAGTTTTTCTTGTTTTCGTCTTTTTTCTGATTTTTGCGGAGGGAAGTCAGTCACACTGATTCTTTCACACTGATATGGCCTTAAAGAGGTTTTGATTTGGAGCTCTTTGTGATTTTGGGATCATTTTATTTCTGAAGGGGCTCAGGTTAAATCCTCTATTTGTGAGTTCGGCATGAGGTCCGGCCAAGTCTCTTGTATCTGCACGTGTCAGGGATAGACTGGGATAAAGGGAGTGGCGCGAGCCCCGGGAGAAAAGCACATGCTAACCAACGTTAAAAAGAAAGAAAGAAGCGAGTCTGCACCCTGTCTAATCACGAGAATGGAGGCGAGCCTAAAGCTTAATCTGACGATTAATTATTTCGTGATGGAAAGTTTCAGAATACGTAATAGCCTCATACTAGCTCACGCGCATTCATCATAAAGAATAATAAAGATTAGCTAATTATTTACCATGTAACTTGACTGAGCCTCCGCTTGCTGTGCATTTTTGTAATTTTGCCATTTTTTACATAAAAAATCGAAAAACACGAAAGCCAATATTCCTACAAAATGACAAACGCCCCCGTAAACATCAAAAATAAAAACATAGAGAAAACACCAAATTCCTGTGTCGTTCAGGATTTAGGATATACTACGTAAAAAATGAAACATTTGCAGTGTAATATTACTTTTTTGTAATTATACAGATCTACGAATAAAAACATATATCACATATAACACATTATTTTAAAAAGCAGAGCAAGAACAATATCACTGAACAACTTCGATTACTTTAAATTTAACATGTCAATAAGTTTCAATTATTTTCGCTGTGGTACGCTGCCGCCAGTACTATGCCACCTGTTTCTGTTCAGCAGGCGGATAAAATGGGTGCCGATGCATGACAGCGGTAACGCGCAATAACGCGCGTATGCTTTATGAATATGCGCCTTTGTCCGCAAGCACAGGACCATAAGCAATTACTAAACAGAGCAACCGACGCCAGAGCCACGGGCTTGGTTCGCACCTGCAAACCAATTAACGCCGCCTTCAGACTCTATAAGCCACGCCATTGTCATTACCCATTTGGGAAAAACTTAAATCTCATTAACGAAAACAAAGCAATTTATTTTTCCGTTTTTCGGTATTTAAAAAATAATTAAAAGTTGTTTAGCGTTCGCGTCCCCGATAAACAGGGACATACTTGTTAGGAAGGAGGATATAATGTTTAAGTTGATGAGACGTATAGCTTGCTTCTTTAATGGATTTCAATGGTTTGGTTCTGTTCCAGCTTAAAAGTACCGACGCCAAATGTCCTACTAGCTAGTAAATGCGTGGAAGACACATCTCAAGATATCGCAAATAAAATTATATAACAATTTTAAAACACGCATTTGTTTAAAGCTGTACAAGTGCAAAACAGATCTGAGGGAAAAAACAGACTGAACACTATACTATTGAGAAAGAATAAAACGATGAATTTCAAAATCAGTGAGTATAATAAATTCGACACCCTATATCCAGGTTCATTTCGCTTCTTATCTCCAGCTAGGCCGTCTTGTGCTGGAAACTGAAATCCTATTCCACTACCCAAACACAGAGATTAATTTTGTGTGTTTACCCCCCCCACGCAGAATCCCTTAGGCTGTAAGCCGGCACAGGGACGGAGGGTCACAGGGCGTCACTGGGGTGGAGGACCCCTGACCCCCCCCAGAGAGGCCGCTTCTGGAGTCAAACGGTAACAAAAACATCAAACCGACCATGGAGCGCAGCAGTGGGGGAGTGAAGGGGGGGGGTCGCCTAGCCCAAATCCAGACTCCTACATCTGTCCCTGCGAGTGACACGCCACACAGAGCACACGCGTAGAAGGTCTCAGCGTCTCAGTGGCTCCCTGGATGGGATGCCACCGACTCAGCCTGGGATGTGCCCCCCCCCCTCTTCTTCACAGGGGGCATTGTTTCATCCCCGGGTGGCCCTGACTGCTCTCCCCCTGCCCCACCCACTACCAGCATCCCCACCCACCCCGCGCACACCTCCGCACCTCTGGCTCATGCCGCTGTTTATTCACACAGCTGGAGCCCCACAGAGGAAGAGCACTTTGCTCAAGGGCACAGCAACAATGGTCCTGCTGGGGGGGGGTCTGGGGTCCTGGAGTCCACTTCCCCGGGATGGCATGTGTGAGCACAGTGCCAGTATGTGCTGTGTAACGGGCCCTGGAACTTTATAGCATCCTGCATGTTAATAAATGTATTCAGGGGCCACTTAGTCTTTTTGTTTTTTTATCTGAG